AAGAGTCCTGGAGATTTTCTGGTAGAGTCTATGGAAGCCAGGCTTTGGGGAGGGGAGAGACCTCTGCTGAACAGAATGCCATAAAGCCCACCTTCGAAAGCAGTTATTTTATCCGGGGGGTGGGGAGATCTGTTGTCTGGAGTTCACTTGTGATACCTGGTGATCTTCAGGCTCCACCTGGAGGTTGGCTACCCTAGATGTAGCAGTCAGTGCTTCAGAGCAGGGTCTCCTAGATCCAGGTTCTTGCTGTAGAAGCTGAGTAGGTGATTTTGGACCAGTCACAGACTTTCAGCCTAACCTAACTCACAGGGTTGTTGTGCAAGTCAAAAGGGGGAGAGGAGAATGATGTAAGCTGCTTTGGTCCCCATTGCAGAGAAAGAATACTTTTCCTCCTTGGAAACCATTGTTGCCAATCTCCAGATGATGGCTGAAGATCACTCAGAATTACAACTGCCAATCTCCAGATGATGGCTGGAGATCACTCAGAATTACAACTGCTCTCCAGATGACAGAGATCAGTTCCCCTGGAGAAAATGGTGGACTCTGTAGCAGTCAGGGCTTCAGAGCATGGAAGAGGCAGCAGGTGTGTGTGTGGGGAAATGGAAAGCTAAAGAGTGAGGGGAAAATAAAGGTAGGTTGATGATTGGCTGGGAAGGAGATAGGGTTGCCAACTCCAGGTGGAAAATTCCTGGAGATTTGAGAGATGGAACCTGGAGAGGGTGAGGTTTGAGGAGGGGTGGGACCTCAGACAGGTACAATGCCATAGATTCCACCCTCCCAACCAGCCATTCCCTCCTGTAGAACCACTGTTGCCAATCTCAGGAGAGGGGTGGAAATCACCCAGAATTACAACTGATATCCAGGAGGGAGGGGGGAGGAGATGGAAGGCTGAAATCAGAGGGGCAGAGAATGACAGGTTGATGCTTGGCTGGGAAGGAGATAGGGTTCCCAACTCCAGGTTGGGAAATTCATGGAGATTTGAGGGGTGGAGCCTGGAGAGGGTGAGATTTGAGGAGGGGTGGGACCTCAGACAGGTACAATGCCATAGACTCCACCTTTCAAACCAACCATTTCCTCCTGGGTAGAAATTGTTGCCACTCTCCAGGTGAGGGCTGGAGATCACTCAAAATTACAACTGCTCTTCAGGTAGCAGAGATCAATTTCTCTGGAGAAAATGGTGGACTCTGTGTCATTATACCCTGCTTAGGTCACCACAGCACATTGACACTGAGTGCCCAAGGCCTTGGCACTCTCCCAGAGCCTCTTTCTAGAGCTCATTGTATTTATTTCCACAATGAGCCTTATTCCTAGTCATAATATAAATACATCAATAGATGGTTTAAAAACTATTAAGAACAACAATTAATGAACAACAATTTAAAAAGGGATTGCACTATTTGTTTATACATGCAAATTCCAGAGCTGGTACCTCTAAGTCTAAGATCGACTTGCTCTGGGCCACATGGAACTGGTGAACTTCAGCAGGGGATGTCAACATACTTGTTAATACCTATTCATGACAGCATACCAGTTCACAGACAGGCATATAGCAAAAATTAGAGTTCTACATTTTCTGGCATCAACTGTGATTTATTTGGGCTAATGAGAAGGAAGTAGTGAAGAGAAAGTTGTTCCTCTTCAAACAATTACAATGTAGCAGATTAATATACTGCAGCAGTAATAATCCACCAAGGCCTGCATGTAAATAATAAGACAAGGTACACAATGAAGTATGAGATCTAGCAAAGCAAAATCAGAACCAACCTGCACTATACCAATAACACAGATACAACTCTAGTTATTCACTTCATGAAAAAGAATCACCGGCCTGAAAAAGCTTGCACGAACATTTCAATGCATGCATGTGTTTAAGTTATTAACTATTAGAGAATGGTGCCCCAAAAGCACCATATAGTTACTCACCACTCAGGAATGTTTCCAGACAGAAGAGTTTGACTTTCTTTTGTCTTTCAATCAAGTTTGGTGTTGTGGAAGAAGGTGCACACGGCCCAGACCAATAGACTTTGCACTGGCAAAGCCTGACAGCATAAATGGCATGACCGTTGACCTCCAAGATCAGACCTCGATCCATGACATCAAGCAGTCGACTTGTGAAGAGCTTCTGCTTTTCATTTGTGATCTGTTCTGGCCCTGGAAACTTGACTTGTTCCAAACTAATAGGGCCAAAGAGTTCTTCTTGATCAGGCATAGGACCCAGTTCTCCATAGAAAAGTCTGCAGCCCTGGGGGTTGCTCACAGTCATCGTCTGCCCGAACTCTTTGCCTCGATACTCAAACTTGATTTCTAGGTCTGTCACTTGATTTAGAAGGATACGTTATTAGAATACAAGACACTGCAATGGAGCTCATAACTGCACCATATGGATTTGCTGTCATTTCATACCCCAAGCCCAGTCTGCATACCCGATCATACCCCATACCCAGTCTGCACTTCATACCCATACCCTGTTTGTGTAGGACATAACTACTAGACCCTTATGATAAGTGAGCAAACGTAAGGCACAGAGAAACTAAGGGCCAATTCAGTCAGCAAGTTTGCTGTTACTTGTGATAACTAACTGGAACTATAGCTTCATATTTGATTAAGATATAAATTATCTTGATTAAACTTAATAATCATATGAATGCCGTACTCACCAACAGAAGCAAGTTTATCAATTGATAAGAATAACTGCCATCACTTCAACTAAAACGCAAGCTAGACCACATGCAGCAATCCAAAATCAACAGGAGTTTCCAACTCATTCAACATAGACTGACATAAGCAACTGTTCTACGTTTTCAAAACATAGGAGGCTGCCTAGGCCACATGAATCCAAACAAGAATAACTTCAGGGAAATTCTGGTGTCCACTCAGACTTCTGCTGTATATTCAATTACACAGTTTACTCACTAAGTACAAAAAACATAATTTTGCAATGCAATTGAACAGTGTTTGTATACTGTACATTTATTCCATACAAACCAAACAGACATACTTGGAAGAGAACTAATCCAGAGCTCAGGAGAGCTGAACATGTCATGCTGAAGAGCTGGTGGTGGCATCTCCATATCCAGAGGCTCATTCTTTGGCCACACGGTTTCAGGGCTACAGGCCTCCACACTGGCCGGTGCCATTGGGGAATCTGAGCCAAAGAAAAGCTTTTTAAAACCCTTGCAACATTTCATCTCAAATAACTGTCAACATTTCTCTTTACCAGAGAGATAAATTTGGCTATATTATCTTATGAGATGAAGTAGTTTTTAAAAGCTTTTTATTCAGCTTACTATAGATCTATACAGGAACATCTTTGTGTCATCACATAAACATTTATGAAGTTTAAAAACAGCTTGTAATGGAGATGGTGATTCAGCTGTCATGCCAAAAAGAAAAGTATGCCCCCCATTCATGTTGCCATCAAGCCCTGCAAACTACAGTGTGTGTGCGTAGAGAGTGTACAAATTAAATTTTCTCATGGGTTTACACTCCTTTTCCTCCAGTTACTTTGTAAAAATAGTGATATCAAACTCAAAACTGGATGGGAAGAAGAAATTTTATACCCAAATACTAGAAGCCAGCCCAATTTTTTCACCAAGCAAAATATGAATTCCAACTGATGACAACAGGGTCTCAGTTAATTATTCTCAGCATTCCACAATTAAGAAGGGTACACCTGCCTATCTACCTCCGATTTTGCTATATTTATTTCTTTACTATGTTTTCCACCGGAAATAAACCCAAACAAATGGTGTACATATAAACTAAACTTGTTATTCCAGTTTAGTCCTTGCATCTGTTCAACAACTTTTGTTATGCTTATGCTAATTTGCTGCTCACCCTCTACCACACCCTGTATGGACTGGTAACTTCCATTTTAATGTATCTGAAGAAGTGCGTGTGCACATGAAAGCTTATACCTTGAATAAAACTATTGGTCTTAAAGGTGCCACTGGACTCAAGCTTTGTTCAACTGAATGTTAATACTATGATCCTAAGCACAATTACACTATTTTAACTTCACTGAAGCTAACAGGCTTAGAAGGGTGTAATTTTGCTTAACAGTGGTGGTGGTCACAAATTACACCGGGGGCCCCAAAGATCTGACATGTCCTTAAGCATGTTCACTACCCAAACCGTTCACCAGTTGAGGCACCACACTCCACCAAGATGCTCATACCAGAGAGTATGTTGTCGAAGGCTTTCATCGCCAGAGTTCATTAGTTGTCATAGATTTTTTGGGCTGTTGAAATTGTGTTCGTTTATGAATGTCAGTGGCTTCCCTGTGTAATCTGACATGGTAATTGGATGTTTTGTCCAGCCTTTCAGTGTCTTGGAATGCCAGTCACAGTGAGGATGCCAGTCACAGCTGCTGGCAAAACGTCAGGTCCTACAATACCAAGACCACGGCCATACAGTCCAGAAAATCTACAACTAATACTAGAGAGTACTTTGTGTTACACGTATGGCCCAGCCCAACAAAGTGACATTTATGACAGATCCGGCCCTCATAACAAATGAGTTCGACACGCCTGATCTATTGGGTCACCCTTATCCACATGCCTGTTTGCCCCCTCAAAGAATTCTAAAAGATTAGTGAGACAATATCGTCCCTTACAGAATCCATACTGATTTTTCTTTAACAGCTTTTGTTCATCAGTGTACCTACTAATTCTATCTTTAATAACAGATTCTACCAACTTACCAGGTATTGACGTTAGACTGACTGGCTTGTAATTTCTCAGATTTCCTTTGGAACATTTTTTAAAGATGGAGGTTACATTAGCTACCTTCCAGTCCTCAGGAATGGAGGCAGATTTCAGTGATAGATAGCATATTTTTGTCAGGAGATCGACAAGTTCACATTTGAGTTCTTTTCAGAACTCTTGGATGTATGCCATCTGGGCCTGGTGATTTGTCAGTTTTTAATTGGTCCATCAGGCATAGGACCTCCTCTCATTACCTCAATCTGACTCAAGTCTTTCAATACCCCTCCTGAAATCGGCAGTTCTGGAGTAGGTAAGCACCTCCCTTCTTTGACAGTCAAGCCAAAGGCAAAAAAAGCATTCAACGTCTCTGCCATTTCCCTATAATCCTTTAGTAATCCTTTTACCCCTTGGTCATCCAAGAGTCCCATTGTCTCTCTGGTTGGTTTCCTGCTACTAATGTATTGGGGGGTTTATGTTTCTTGCAATGTTATTCATGGTCCCTTTTTGCCTGTCTGATAATCGACTTGCATTTTGTTTCTTTGTTAATCATGGATGCCTTTTTAAATACCTATTTGTACTTTTCCTAACCCATGATATACATTTTATCTGAGCTTCTAGGATTCTAGTTTTAAATAGTCTCCAAGATTCCCGAAGGGATTTGACCCTCCTTACCTTTCCTTTCAATTTCTTCTTCACAAGCTCCCTCACATTTGAGAGAAGTTACCCCTTCTAAAGTGAAAGGTGGTTGTGTTGGTCTTTTGGGGCAACTCCCTATTACATAAATGTTAAACTTAATAGCATTGTGGTCACTGTTCCCAACTGGTGCTCTATCACTTTTACATCTCTCACTAGGTCTTGGACATTACTTAGGACCAAGTCCAGGATGACTTCCCCATTGTAGGTTCCGTGACCATCTGCTCCATGGCACAATCACTGAGAGTATCTCTTTCTCCTGACTTGAATACATATTGACCCAATCAATGTGCGGGTAGCTAAAATAACCTATTATGACACAATTATTTTGTCTAGCTGCTTTACTTAATTCTTTTGCTGTTTTTAGACCATTCTTTGATCTGGTGGGCGATAATGAACTCCTAGAGTCAAGTTGCCTTTTGGGCCCACTATTTCCACCAGTAGCATTTCTGTAAGAGAATATATTTCTCTTATATTCTCAATCTTACTGGACTGTATACCCAGAGCCACTCCATCTCCAACCTGCTCCCTCCCTAATTTATATACAAGAATCACTGTATCTCACTGATTATCCTCATCCCACCAAGTTTCTGAAATGATCACAGTGTCTATGTTCTCCTCTGACACTAAGCATTCCAGCTCCCCCATTTTATCTCAGACACTTCAAGCATGTGTCTATAAACATCTGTAATTTCCCAGACACATTAGCCCTGCAACCTCCCTTCTGTGGCCTCTTAGACCTTGCCAGGCAGTCAATATTGTCACCCTCAGTGGCCAGGCCTAATCCATTTCCCTCTAGAATAGTAACAGATATCCCTTTTCTTAGAGATGAACCATCCCAAACCAGAGACATTTCATGTCCTGTCAGCTTTCCCCCAAGATTTAGTTTTATAACTGCTCTACCAACTTTTTGATTTTAAGTGCCAGCATCCCAGTGCCTAAGAAATTTAAACCCCTCCTCCCTATATCATTGTCTCATCCATGCATTGAGACTCTTAATTTCTGCCTGTCTAGCTGGCCCTCAGTGTGGAACACGTAGCACTTCTGAGAAGGCTACCTTGGAGGTACTGGCCTTTAGTCTCCTGCCTAGCAGCTAAATTTTTCTCCAGGACCACACGACTACATTTTCTGACACCATTGGTGCCAACATGTACCACAACCATTGGCTCCCCCCAGCCAATCTAGACCACACATAATGTCTGCTACCTTTGCACTAGGCAGGCAAGTCACCATGCAATCAGTACACAGGCCCTCAACCCATCTATCTACATGCCTAAGGACTGAATCACCAGCTACCAAGAGCCCCCCCTCCTCCCTGCCCAGGGATGGTTTTTGGGGTGAAATGATACCTGTTCACCAACTGAAGGAGGGGTCCCTTCTGAGGGAACATTCCCCCTTTCATCAGCAGATTGTCCTGTTTCCCCTTGACCCTCATGCTCCCTGACAGTGGTGAGTCTGCCATTCTTGAAGTTGGACACATCTAACAAGTCTCAAGAGTCTTATCCATGTGCCTGACTGTCTCTGCTTCTCCAGGTCAACCACCTTGGCCTTGAGGGTGCAAACTCATTCCCTGAGAACTAAGAGCTGCTTGCACCGAGCACACACCCATGACATCTGTCCAGTTGGCATGTTATCCTCATGGTATCCTCAGTGCAATGTTATCCTCAGTGCAATACACTGGATAGCCCCCAATCCCCTGCTACCTTCGTAGTTGCCTTTTTATTATTTGTTTTTTAGCCTCACTTTTTATATAAAACTTCCTATTTATGTAGATTTGTTTGTGGAAAGTGTGCTTATCCATTTAGGGATGTGGAGAGACTAGTGCCCTGGCTTCCTCACCCTGCAAATGAACTTGCACATCTGCTAACCTCACCTGTTCCTTCCCTCGCCCCGGACACTTCGTTACTAGAGCAGGGCCTGCTGCCTCACAGAGCTGGGTCTGCTTGTAGGAACCCTAAGTAAATAGTTTGGGCCAAAACTCAACCCCCCAGTGGAGCCAATCACACTGATTGGGAGCTAACCAATAAAAGAGGATGAGTGAATCAGCCTCTGGTTCTTTAACAATAGGTCTTGCTGAAAGGGAGCTGCTCAGACCACCTTTTACTTCAAATGCTAATTTAATTTAAATGTTAATTTTGTCCTTCTAGGCTTGGATTAAAAGGAATTGTAGCTGAATAGCCTCAGCAGTTACAGGGGTGCCTAACTGCTTGTTTTCTTGTAGGTAAAAAATACCCCTTCTTTAAAGAATGTGAGAATTAGCTTAAAATTTTAGATTTAGTTTATATGGAGCACAATAGTTAATATCTATTGATTCCTTCATCATGGACATGTTGCAACCTGACTCAAATTGTCTCAAAGAATGCACAAGGATAGATCAGTTTATACAATATCAAAGCTTCACAAAGGAAAACATTAGCTAATAAACTACCTGAACCAATTTACTACATTAAAGCCCTAGGGATGAAGACAATGGATATGGTCCACCTCTACCACGTAGGAAGAGAGAAATAAAATTGCAATACCTTGGAAGACAAGTGCACAGAAGGACATTTGTAGATCAGCAAGATGCTTTTTAAAAGCAAAACAAAATGTAACACATTCTGCTGCGTGGGAAATTAATGCAGAAGTGTCTGATTGCTGAGACAAGGTTAGTTAAAACCTGTTAAACCTGAACCTAGCTCTAGGGGAACTCCACCGAACAGACTTCTAAGGCTGTGCCATCATTATAGCCTACGTATTGGTTTGGCAAACAGGTGTGTTCCTCTGCTTTTGCTGCAGTGTGGGAATTTACACTTTTATTACAGCCCTACCTAAATGGCTGTCACAGGGCGATTCTGCATCCAGCATTCGCTCCACATTTTCTCAACTGGGAGGGAAAAGTGCAACTCAAAACCACATCCAAATACCTTGGGGCAATGCCATATTGACTGCAAAGTCATCTCTCAACAGCCATAAAATTAGGGCTGCCAAGTCCCCCCGGGGGGCGGATTTCCCCCCGCTTTGGAGGCCCGATTTCCGCTGCCGCGGAATCAGGCCCCGGGGGAAACACCACCCCGGCGTGCACGTCAGCCGGAGGTGACGTGATGACGCCGGGCATGCTGGGGGCGGGACCACAGCCATCTGAGGGGGAAACTCTATGTTTCCCCCTCAGATGGCTGTGGCCCTGCCCCCAGCGTGCCCGGCGTCAACTTGGCAACCCTACATAAAATGGTCATAAATCTATGCAGAAGGTACAATAAAATCTGAGGAACTCGAAAGTGGCATGGAGTGTGGAAGCTAGCATAAAACCCAATAATCAAAGGAAGTGAAACCAACATGCAATGCAGAGGGGAATTTCTGTTCCAACGTGGGTTTCCTAAAACAACGGAGGGAAAAGCCAATGCAGAATCAGCCATGATGACCCAGTGGCTGGAAGCGGGTAATTCCTGCAACAGCCTGTTGTGGCATAAGTTTCTTTACACTTGTAATGGCAGCCATGCAGACATCACTTTTCCTTCTTACCCTAGTGCAGCGACACCCACTACCAGCAACACAACAGACAGGGAAGCAGAGCTCCCCACAGCAAAGCCTTTCTCTTTGCATCTAGTTTACCCTTGGCTACCTGAACACAATGGAGACAGAAGATGGTGTGCCTACAAAAGTCCTGAGATAGAACCAAGCTGTTGAGTGCTGGGATTGTGAACCAAGCAAGTTTAGTGGCCGCTAAAAGAAATGAGCTGAAGATGGGTTATTAAATGGGTACAATTGAGCAAGTTGGCCATTTTAAATAAAAGGAGGATGGGACCAGTGTGCCCTCTAAGCTGAGTTAGTGTGAGCTAGCTCACAGTTTTTTAGCCTCCAGCTCACACATTTTTCTCTTAGCTCGGGAAGGATGGCTCCAGAGCAAACTAATTTATGCAGCAGCCAAATTGCTCACTCACAACTTTAATGCAAGTAGCTGACAAAGCAGAATTTTTGCTCACAAGACTGCACAGCTTAGAGGAAGCACTGGATGGGACAATGACCAAGGGCAACAGTACTAGAAGATTACTGTCCAGGCTCATTATACAAAAGCTTATACTTTTAAAGTGATGTAGACACTGCCTCCTCCTTGTACAATTTTTTTGTAGCACATTCGTAAAGAAATTGCTAGCCGAACAGAATCCTGACCTAAGAATGGCTGTTTTATGAACCTATTTATATTTTGCTTAATAGGGCTGTGATAAAAGGAGACTCGACAAGGGATTGTGAGTTGAAGAGAAACCCCATTTCTATGCCCACTTATTATTTTTTTAAGTTTGATATTTCTACAAATATGAGAGTTCTCTAAATAGTAACTGGGGCTGGTTCCACTACACATATTTGGCTATCCACACAGAGACCAGCCCCTAATTATTAGATAGAGTGATACAGTAAAAATACAAACTATAATGAAAATACAGTTTTATGTCCTATGTGCATTCTTTGCCATGATCTATCTACTAACCATTAATATTAAGAAATGGAAATGTATCCTGTATGGGTACATGCTGAGATTGGTTTAAATCCTCCTCCTCTTCGTCATCAAGGTCATTATCCTTGTCATCCCATGGAGCTGAACCAGTGGAGCCTATAGGAAAGACACAGGCTAAAGAATTAGCAAGAAATTTGGAATTATATCGACAGAAGAGAGCAAAGACATGTAATTGCCATGGATCTGAAATACTATAGAAATATTCTTTCCAATTCCACTTTGCAGATGTTACCAATTTTTATTCCAACTCATGCTTGATCATCTTCATAGCTCCAAAAGCATCACCACCCTTCTGGAGCCAAGACTCCTACTCCTTTTTCACTTCTCAGCTTATCATGAAGAATTCCACTGCCTTGATATAGCTCCCAAAGTTGATATGGCCCAATCACAGCACTATCACTTGTCCTGCTAACCCTTTCAACTAGTCTCTAGGCAGATAACAAGATGCCCAAACAAAACTTTATCTGATCCCATTACTTGCTAGCCTCCTACATCTAACAGCTAATGCTTCTTCCAGATACACAAACATGTGTACACACCTATCTTTCAATCCAAATATATTTCTGTCCTGCATTCTGCATGCTTCTGGGGTCTTTAAATGGAATCCACTCCCAGGGACTCTCACTGCTATATTCTGGAAGCATTAAGTCTTTTTTTTTCCTTTTTAAAGGCCAATCTACTCAATAGAATATAGAACCAAGATAATAAAGGGAAACTATAGCTGTTCTCCTTCTTGCACCATTGGCTTTTTGTTCTTATTTATTTGGTTACTGGTGCAGCCATGTTGCCCTTTTAATACATTTTTAAAGACAAAAAAATGAGCAATTTACTACAAATTTGATATACAAAATGCATTCTTAAACAGAAAGAGAGTAGATTTAAATTTTGCTTTGAATCACTTACACAGTGCAAAAAGTAGGCTGACCTACTTACGTAGTAACCTAGCAGGAGTCACTGATAGGAAGGATTTTCCCTCCCAAGCACCTACACTCTCAGTTGTAAAGACAGACCAGTGTTAATACAGAAGAGCAAGTAATGTGCTTCCTTAAACAGCAGAACCATTTTGTGCCTCACCAGGATTAATGATTGCTCCCTGTGATTGCGGTATATCACACACTTCATAAATTTTAATGGGATTCATTGGCACCTCTTTCGTGCCATCGTACATCAGGTTAAATTCTCGGCTTTTGTTGAGAGCACACCGGAGCTGAGCCTTCCATTTTGCAGGGTCAGGATCGTCAACTCCTTCCTGGTATTTTCCTGTTTCCACAGCCCAAGCCTGGGAGCAAAGTACACCATACTTAGTTAAGTGCTGTCATGATTCCAGCATCTGTTGTTGCCAAAAAAAATCAACATCTGTCACAGAGATCTAACATCTTATGCAGAAGCTAGTGATTGCTGCCACTGCCTTCTGACTTCCAATATTTATTTAATTTTTAAAACAAAATCTTGCTCTCCCCAGTCAATGCAGAATCCCCACCAATACAAACACAGTGCATGTTAGTATTTTCTTAATCAATATTATTCTGAATCAATAGATCCAGGATCCCTATGTGGGTCACCTGCTTGGAATCAAAGGAGCCAACCCAATGGCAAGCTAAATTTGTATGTGGAATTAAGATTCCATATACACCCAGATAATATTATTTTAATTTAATCAGAGATCTTCAAACAAAAAACAAGATTCCTGTTACAGAGCAAACCTTTGTAGCTGGAAAAGGAAATTAGAATTATAATAAAACTAGGAGCAAGGCTCGTTGTAGAAACAATTCAACGAAGTGCTAGAAATGGGCCCCTCCCCCTTTTCCCCTGCTTTCTACCCGGTGTCAAGGATCAGCCACTGGAGGGGGTGTTTGCAAAGACATGGCTCACGGAGGCTGTGGAGGGGCACCCTGGAGGCTCAGCAGGGCCTCAGCCCAGTCCCCTGCTCTTTCCGGCTGCGCTCCTTGGGGGATCTCAAGCTTGGCACAGGAGGCAGCCAAGCCAAGCGTCGCTGCAAGGAATACAGCCGCTGAGCGCCACAGAAGAGCAGCACGGCGTGCACAAGGTCAGGCTAGGCTTTCAGGGAGGAGAAGTTCCCCGGCATGGTGACTCATCCATCCTGTGTGCATACTGGAAGTCCCGCAGTGTTCCAGTGACTCTGTCGCCGAGGAGCTGGGTGCGCCCCCAAGCCCTCCCCAGCGGCTCCCGGGAAGTGCCGCCACCCCAGCAGCAGCCCCGCGCGCAGCTGGCCTGGGGCAGAGAGGAGCCTCCACTGTCGCCACCCCCTCCTCGTCCCCACCTTCTAGGCTCAGCACTTTCAGCCGACCAGCTTCGGTTCCCTGCCTGGCTGGGAACCATGGGCCGCCGCCAATGCCCTCCACCCGGCGATGCACCATACCCTGTCTGGTCGCAGGGCGGCTTGTGACCTGAAGTCAGCCTTGGCCGACCGCCGGCAGGAGTGGCCTGGGGCTTCTACGCCTCCGCCTGCCGGGGCATCCATCCCCCCCGGCGGCTCCCTGCAGACTGAGGGCAAGACACTGGGTGGCGGCTGTGTGGGCAGGAATGAGGTGATGCAGCAGGGCAATGCGGGCAGTGGCTACAGACTCCTGGTGAGTGGCACATCAGGGAGCCAATGAACTTTGCTGCTCATAGAACGCTGCCATGCGAAAATGCTTTTATATATAAGGACAGATAACAATAATCGCTAACAGAGAGACTTATGCTACCAGATGGGGTATTTTTCTAATAGCAGTAATATTTGTGTAACTCTCCATATGATTACAAATAAAAACCACTCCAAAAAGTATTTCAGCCTGAAAATGAACAAGTAAAATTTCATGAGACCAAAGTAAAAACCATGTGCTCAGTCTGTCAGCAACATACTAAAACAGATGTGTCTTTAAGATGGAGAATGGAAAAGGAATATAAAGACAGAGAATGGAAAAGGAATATAAAGACAGATGTGTCTTTAAGGTGAAGAATGGAAAAGGAATATATTATGATCCAAACAGTAGAAGTAGAGAAGTGTAAAGATGGAGATAATTAGATTCTTAGAAGGGAAACTATATGAAACTCTAAAAGAAAGAGTCAACAGCCATACAAAGCACAAAAAGATTAGTTGTGTGGCAATACAGGACATGCAGAATGGAGATAAAGCACTGACTATCTGACAAGTACTTCAAAGTGATTATATTGGCCACTACATGTTGCTTTGTCTCCCAGTTTCTCCTCATACATTTGTAGTTTTCTTCCCCTTAGGACTGTAGATTCAGGAATGTCTTCATTTTGAATGAAGTCATGAGATTTTGAATGAAATATCTAGACTATTTAAAGTAAGCAGCAACCCCTTATACTCATCCCTCTACTCCCCTGCAGAAGATTAATGAGGTGGATATGAAAAGGTTAAAGAAATACTTTAGTATTAAGAGAGGACCAGGGAGGCCAGGATGAGACACAAAGTGAGTCATTTGTCTGAACATATGTAAGGGATGATGTTGAGATCATTGTTTAAGAAGTTATTAATTTCCACAAAAAGAAATCTGCAAGTGTATGCCTAACCACGCAAGACTGCAACTTGAATGGCACAAGTTGATCCAACCAGAGCCCCAAAGAGTTTTCCTAGTTTCTAGAACCATAGCTGTTTCTTTAAAACAACAGCAACAACAACAACCCACATATATACATGTATTTAAACTGACCAATTCCCCATCCCCCCCAGTGCTGGATTCCACAGAGTTCACATTTACAGCAGCTTCTATCCCATGAACGCAAATGGGTTTCCCACAATTCCCAGGCAAATGTTAGCCTGCTAGACTTAAGCAGGGCCAGCAACCACAAAGTGAGCACCAGTACTCAGAAGTATAAACAGAGTTCTTCAGGGAAGCAAAAGGAGAAGGAGCCTCCAAACAATGACCTCAGCAGTTGCCTGCTGCAGGTACTCTCCTTTCCCAAAGGAGTTCAGGAGGCATACATGGGGGGATTTCTTATCTTATCCTCACAATCACTCAGGGAGATAGGTTAATCTAAGAAGCAGAGACAGCCCAAAGTTACTTCCTGGCCAAGCATGAATTTGACTCAGTGTCACCAGTTCATGCTCTTCTGTGTAGTTTTGCTTACCTTAAAAATGGTATTCTCTTCTTCATGCTGAGGGCTGTGCCGAGTTGCATGCTTCCAGGGGATCTGAAATCGCTTTGCTTCTCTGTTAAGCCATATAAGGCCTGGGTACATACCACTGTCTACCTGAGCTACCAGCCAGGGTTTCAATCGAACTCTGCGTGGGTGTAATGCCATTATCTGGATGAAAACACACACACAAAACACATAGCAAACAAACTATCAGGAATCTGAAGGAACTTTCATTTTCTATGAATGAAGCAATAGAAACCAACTGTGTTTGCTATCAACACTTTGATTGCAACTTCTTCTGTTTCCTTGAAGGTCTCATAAAACAAAATCCAGCCAATTTAGCTACTGATATGAGCTGAAGCCAAGGCAGGCCCAGCCTAACAATGTAAACAAGAACTCAAATTAAACATCTCACAATATTCAGGACCCTCTATCAGTTTGGACAACTGACACTACTAATTCAAAATGGGATGGAAAAGCCACACAAACTGGTTAAAGGCACATGATTCAGAGTGAGGACAAAACTTGAAGTTGAAATACAGAAGAGACCACTGCTCAAACCAGCTGTTTCTGCCACCACCATCCCCCTGTACAATATATAGGATAACTTACCTATATCCTGACATCACAGACTTGTGCATTTCCCTGCCCCATCTCACAAAAGCACAATGTTTTAATTAGGAAAATACAGGCCATCTTTGGGCAGCAGCCACATTATCTTAACATCTAGTCCCCCCTAATTCTGTTTCTGCAGCTGTTGATTAAAAGAGCTCACTTGTGTGAAAAAGGCACACCAGACAAAAAGACATTTCACATGCAAGGTGGAGAACAGCAACAAATACCATCACAGATATTATGGCAAAATTTTTTTACAACCTATGGCAGAACTACATAATTGATTTCCCCACTATTCTGTACAACATGCTTATCTAAGGCATAGATTAATCAGTGTCTATTAACATTTTACCTAAAACTGTCTTCCCGCCAAAGTGTAGCTGATAGAGTTCTCACTGTATTGTTTTGAAGACATGAGAAGACAGAAGTCTCTGTAAGGCACACTCAGCTTGGCACATGCAATATGAGAAATCTGAAATCAAAGTGGGGATCTTCAGATTGCTAAATTTGGAGAACAGCTGGCATATAGCCAATCACACCAATAAGCAAAAGTACCGGGAAGAAAAATGTACCACACAAACCTGATATAGGATTCCAAGAAGCAAAGCCCTATAAACACATACACAAGGGAGGTCCAAACAGCGACAAAATATGATCAGCCATCTACTGAATGGGATATACCCCAGAGGGCAGTTCACCCCCAGGCCATCTCTATGTGCAAGGACATTAACAATGGTAGTGACCCATTTCCCAAGGAATCCTTGCTACTGAACAGGTCTGATATTGTGCTATAGTAATGAGCCATTGCACTGGAACAATGCTGGTGTGCTAGCACAACACTGTATCTGGGCAGTAATGAGTAACAATGCAACCAAGGCATACACATGCAGAAGCAAGGGAACAGAATACATAAAAATTAAAATGCACAAAATAAGAGTATCTAGCAGATTCCAAACTAATTAAATAGGAAATGTGGAGGGAATTAGTGCTAGTGCTCCAGCAGGAAACCATACCAACAGTGAACACCCAAGAGCATGATTGGGAAAGAAAGAACTATTGATGGAGAATAAAGATGAAGCACAAATTATAATATACAGAGGAAAGCATGAGCACAAATACCCAATATGCAAGAGCAATAATAATGCTTAAATGATATATCCAGTTGGTCAGCCATGTTGGTCTGAAGCAGTACAACAAATTTAGAGTTCAATGGCAGCTTTAAGACCAACAAAGGTTTATTCAAGACCAACAGTGCTTAAAGGAATGAGGGTAGCTGTATCAAAGTTGACTTCTCAGTTTTTCTACAGGTCCCAGTCTGAAGACTGGCCAATTAACCCACTATTGTTACTACAGTCAACAATGGATGCAAGGTCAAAACGTATCACATCACACACAGAATTCATCATGTGATGGCGAGGACAGGACAGGCAATACAATACTATTCAGCAGGTCGTGGCAACAAATGACCATTACTACAAAACACAAAAAGGTTATCGTAAGCCTCAATAGGTCCATGCAGATAACATACATGTTGCTGTAAAATTCCACCATATATGTTAGGACAAAATAGAGTTCACAAGCAACTAAAGAAAGAGGAACAAGACACTATATCCATAGCCAGTACTAGCCAAACACCTCTTCTCTAGTTGCAGGAACACAGCAAGAAAAGATGATCTATAAAGAAAAGAAAAGAAGATCTATAAAGAAAAGAAAAGATGAGCTATAAAAGCTGCAAAATAACTTGAAATTGCTGAACTGGAATTCATGAAAAGATCTGATACAATCCCCCCTGCCACTTCAAGGGATGTCATTATAGGTTGGGGGAGGCAACTCCCCCCAATGCATGCTAAACAGTGACATGCCAAATCATTTTACTCAGCACTCAGAGTCAGTTCTTCATCCAAGCAGCTGAGCTAAGCCCGTGGCACTGCTGGAATCTATGGCATGGAGAAGGTGACAGTTATGGTTTACTCCCATCATCACCTCCAGGACCTGTACAGCCAATGAAATTCAGCCTTGCTCACAGTTATTCTGGCCAAGAACAACCATTGTTTCTCCCCCTCTCCTCTTGGTTGTTGGCACACCAGCATCTCTATAAAGATTTTGACACTAGGGACAAAAGGTTGCCTATCTCTGTCATAGATATTACCTGTCTTGCTAAAATTTCTGCCCGTGCACCCACTTTGATGCACTAGTTTAGCAAAACTAGTGAGCAGAATGAGGTGAGCAGAGCATCTTAGTCACCCAGGAGCCATCTAGGTAAATAACAACTATTCTGACTGGTAACATTTCTCCAGTAGTTCAGGCGTGGATCTTTCCTGTCATTAAAACCTGAGACCATCAGCATGCAAAGCCATACCACAAAACAGCCCTTCTCCAACTAGAGACAATGTAGAAAGATGTCCAGGGGGATGCAACCATGGGGCCTCAAGATACGGAGACAAGGGGAAAATGGGATGCTACAAACCAGCCATATTAGAAGCTATGTTAAACTCCAGAGGAGCAGCACTGGTGCAGCAAAACCATAATGGAGTCATGTGGTACCTTAAAGACTAACAGATGTACTGAAATCAACTACATCAGATAAACATTGTTATGAATCAACTGCAACTGTAGGATAATAGAAGTGCTCTATTCAGTGACACAGGAGTTCTATCAAGTTTCTCCTGTCCTCCAAATGTATACTGCACCAAGATTAATTCCCTGACATCTACTATCTTAACCCCACATAGAGATGTGAAATGGGGAAGTGGGGGCTGAAAACAAAATGGAAAATTTTAAGAAAGTTTCATCCCCCCAAAGACTTTCCAAATAAAAGATATTATCTCTTTTGGAACAAATTTAATTTTCTTCAGACACAGTTTTGCTTACTCCTCCAAACTACCCTCCTGCTTCATCCTCATTCCCAAACGGAATGAGGATCGAAGCAGAGGGTGGGGTAAAGAAGGGGGCGGGGCTTCACCACGTGACCGCCCCACCCCCTAGAGGTTCTCTTCCGGAGCTCCGTACCTGAGAGCTCCCCCCAGTTTTGCTTACTCCTCCAAACTATACAGCATAAGAACTCAACAGCATTAGAGAATAATTATTGTGTCTACTACATGCAACATATTTTCAAAAGTATGTTTATTGCTTAAGTGTAACCGATTTGACCCATAATTAATGTGCTATAGTATGTGTGATGACTATCCTGGTGGTGACGATAAACTATTTAAGGATTCAATGTTATAAACTTTAACTCTATATACAGATATTATGCCAATTCCACTGTGACTGTAGTCCCAGTGGGCCTGTTTGTCCAAATTATACACTTTCTTTTATTTACTATCTAAACTTGCTTTTGCTTCTGTTTTCTATTGTCAAACCCCGCACCCCGCACTCCACTTTTGCAACAGGCAGGCCTCCACCAGAGTTTTCCAATGTGAACTTTGACATACTTTCAAAAGCTTTGTGGCCATTTCAGTGAAAAAATAATATTGGTGATGGTGACCCAGACTTGCCCCTACAAAAACTTATTTATTTTACATTTCCACCTGTCAAGGCAACAAGTTGCAAGCCTAAACTTGGTCAGTTCCAAAGCTCCTATCTGGAACGAAGGGACTTCAGAGCATACCATTCAAGGCTATGTTTTAACAATGCCTAAATACACCCGATCATGTGTGGTTCTGTGCCATCACCTTAATAAAACTTAGAAAGACATGACTGCCTAAGGACCCAATTATTTTTCTGTCAAGTGAATATGTTCATAATGAATATCTCTCCTTTGGGAAGAACAAAGGTTTCCAGCAGGTTTAGATAATTAGGCACAGGTTTAACCAGATTGTCCTTAGTCCTAAATATTCAGCTTTCCCCAAAAGGGCAAGTCTGCCGCAGTCAGATGGCAAAAACTAAGCAACATGTGCTTGAGTAACCTCTGTAACTTCACTCCACAAAGAGTAGCAGACACAGAATTTTAAATATGTTTTATTTGGTTTATTATGCAGAATTTAATTAGGTCATAGAATTCAGTTTTCCTTGGCACAGATTTCAGACTACTGTGGTGCAGAATTCTGATTTTGCAAACAGTTTTAATATTTTTTAAAATATTTTTTAAAAAATAAATGCCATTTCATAAAGGAGCCAGACACCAGCTGTATATGTGTTATGACCAACTAGGACAGTTTGCTATCGTATATATGTAGCACCTTTGTAAGTTGTCTTTATTATTTTAACTTGATTTTTACTTTCTTAATGTTTTTATGATGCCAAGTGGCCTTGTAAGCCACCCTGAGCCTCCTTTGCTGGGAAGGGTGGGATATAAATAAATAAATAAATAAATAAATAAATAAATTAAATTAAACCCAGACATATGCACAGTCACACATGTTCTTAAAACACTGTAACTCCTCTGAAAAGTTTAAACAGAATTGAGGGGGACAGAATTGTACATATACAGACAAAATAAATGTTTACACCAGGACATTCTGTTTTCTCCCTGGTGCAGCAGCTATACAAGGCCTGTTATGGAGAGAGGGTTAGCTAAAGATTTAAAACTGATCTGTTTACTTAAGAGTGCATAATAAAACTAAATAACATTAACCAAAAGAGAACACACAATTCAGCTAACACCATAAAGGGGTCTGTTTTAACTCAGAATCATAAGACACATACGTTAAGGAAAGGCCATTTCTTAGGCCTCACTTTTGATGCACACTCGATAGCCTTATCAGCTTCACAGTACCAAGAAATTCACTTCCTTGCCAACTGCGCTTCAGCTATTGCCCCCGGAACAAGCGCAACATGCAAGTAGCCATGTTGCTTCCCCCTCCCTCTCCCAAAAGCCCCTTAATTAGCATAACCAGAACAACGCTAAACCAATGTTTGGATGCCCCTAATAGACGGTAGCGCACGTCTTTAGTTTTTGGAAAACGCACACAATTTACAACTATAAGACGGCGACCAATCCCCCAGGGACCTCAGGGCTGCAATCCTGCGCGCGCGCACATACTTTGGGAGTAGCTCCTAACGAGCTCACCAGGACTTTACTTCATAGTGAACATGCTGAACCAGCTCGTGCTACGTAGAACAGGCAGATATGCCTGAAGTAAACAGACGCTGTTCTTATCTATCCAGCCCCAAAGGTAATCCACGCTCACGTCAAGTTCTTTTCCACCTCAAGGCAACGGCCTAGCGCCCGTGGAGGAGGAGGAGAGCGGGATCCCTAGGCTTCCTTCTATGGCATGCCTGGTAACGTTCTCAGGATCCCCGAACTCTCAGAGCCAGACACTGGGAAGGGAAGCACGTAAGCGCTGTGGGGCAGGACGTTCGGAGGCAAACACGGTAAACCTCTCAAAGGTTCGGGGAGAGAAGGGACAAGGGAACGAGGGGAGTCTGCCTCACAAGAGGGCGAGCGTGGGCCCGCGTGAGGAGGCCCTCAATGTCAAGAGTGTGAGACCTGGCAGGGAAAGGACACGCTACGGTGAACAGAAGCCACCTTCCCCTCGAAAAGACCAAAAGCCCCGACAGTTTTGGAGCAGCGGCAAGAAAGGGGCTGTGGAGAGAGAGAGATATATTTTAAAAACAGCAGCCACCACCAAACAGCAGCCACCACACCATCGGAACCCCCGGGGGGGGGGCGTCGGGGTCCTTCCTCCGCGATGTTTTCAGCTCTGTCGTAATACTCACCGGTCCGGCGCGCCTCAGCTGAGCTGCTGCCTGACTCGTTCACCTGGGCCAGGTGCTGCCGGCTTGGCTCCGCCCTGTAGGGCCGTGCAAGGGGAAAGGCGGCCCCCACAGGGGTGTGGACGGAAACGAGCGAGTAGGAGGTAAAGGTATGTCAGGGAATGAGGAGGGAGGACGGGCCGACAAGGGAATGGCGGCGCAGCGAGTTTGAGACGTGTTGGAACCATGAGTGGAACAGAGATCTGGGAATCGGGGCGAGGAGCGTGCACGGAGTGTTTTACTGTGGAAGCGCAAACAGTCCGCATTGTGGACAAAGGCGTTTATGCTAGAGTATATAATTCCACATGGGTAGCTGTAGGTGGGTAGCCGTGTGGGTCTGAAGCAGCAGAACAAAGTCTGGTTCCGGTGGCACCTTTAAGACCAAACTAAGTTTAATTCTGGGTATAAGTTTTCGTGTGCGTGCACACAGAATTTTATACTCAGAATAAAAACTTTGTTGGTTTTTAAAGGTGCCACTGGAATCAGACTTTGTTCTCATGGGTAGCTGTATTCGTCTGCAGCTGTACACCAATACAGGTGTCAGGTGTCACTTTAATGCCTAGAAAGAAATGAAGGGGGGTGGGGACTTAACCCAAAAGAATTGAATCGAGAACCAAAAAAGTTAGTTACAAACCAATATAAGGCTAATTAGTAAAAACTATATGTATAACCTAAATATTATCATAAATACATGTATTTGTTTTTCAAATGGTTAAAAACATTTATGGGCCCATTGGTAGCCTCATTACAGCATAAAAAGGCAATGAATACAAAAGGGAATTATTGCAACCCCATGCGTTTCAGCCCTAATAGGCCTTCTTCAGTGCTCAAACAATATCTGTACATTAAAGTATAAGATATAATAGTAAAGCAATATACAAAAACAATATACAAGTTGATATAGGACCAAGAAAAGAATTTAACAATCAAGAATAGATTACACTAGGCGAAAGAATGTTTGTGAGGCCTGCTTGAGTGTGGCCTTGTGACTTTAGTCAATTGAATACATGCTGACTGATGTTTCTTATTGTAAGCCTTCCAATTTTGATCCAGAAAGTACAGGTGCCAACTACAGGTCAGAGCCAATGTACCATAGATAGCATGGAGTTCACTTTTGTATACATTGCATTTTTATGCTGTAATGAGGCTACAGGTGGGCCCATAAATGTTTTTAACCATTTGAAAAATAAATACATGCATTTTTGATAATATTTAGGTTATACATATAGTTTTTAGTAATTGGCCCTATATTGGTTCATAACTAACCCTTTTGGTTTTTGATTTGCCACTTTAAAGGCTAACCAGATTTATTCTAGCATGAGTTTTCCTCAGTCAGAGCTCATGTCATCTACGGAGTGAAGTTTATGCTGGAATACATTTGATTAGTCTTTAAGGTGTCCTTGGACTCCTGTTCTATTTGGGTCAGAGTTGCATGCTTCTGTAGAGGCTGGAGCCACTTAAAACTCTTCATTTTAAACGGGTTTGGGATATTTATGGCTGACTTTTAAAACAAAAAAATGCATTCATTCACTTTCCAGGTGTAGAGCAGTTATCTTTTGGTACAGTTGGTCTAATCAGTACACTCCTTTCCCATATCCAGTTACCTCAGACTTAAGAGTTTGAAACTTGATTTTAGTTCGGTCATGCCTTGGGTTGGTACTCGTACGAGTATCACTTAAACCTTTACATTTTTTGATAGAAAAATGTTTCCAAGAAGCTCTCAAGCGAAGTAAGAAAACAACAAATTATTTTATTCTTTCTGTGGAAATGGATATTATTTTTGTTTGCCTGGAATTGCATTCAAAAGTAATGCCTGTAATCCTATGCCTTATAAGGAATACATGACACTTAAATTTTTTTATTTTATTTACATAATGTATACCCCATCTTTTGTCCAAATTGGACCAAAAGTGGCATGTGTTCTCTTTTCCGTTTTATCCTCACAACAGTTTTGTAAGGCAGGGTGGGCAGAGTGTGTATAATGGGTCCAAGGTCACCAGCCAAGCTTCCATGGCAGAGTGGAGATTCAAAACACCGGTCTCCCAGATCCTAGTCTGACACTCTGCTATACCACACTGGCTCTCATTTACTTGCACTTAAGGTTATTTCAAAAAGCAAAGAGTTGGGAGCTGTTTTGACACCATGGTTGGTATGCTGCACCACAGCCTGAATGTACTAGTTAGTCCATTTGGATTAACAGGGATGATTACAGAGGGCATTGCCACTGTTCCAGGTGGATTCACCATACCTGTTACTTGCAAAATGATTAGTAAGTATCCAGTTTTTAAAGACTCCAGTTTATATAGTTTATAGACAACTAGAAATAAGGCCCATCATGGAAATAAATACGACAGGCTCTAGAAAGAGGCTCTAGGTGGGTGCCCTGGCCTTGGATACTCAGCATCAATTTGCTGTGGTGATCTCAGCAGGGTAGAATGACACAGAGCTTACCATTTTCTCCAGGGGAACTGATCTCTGCCATCTGAAGAGCAGTTGTAATTTTCAGTTCTCTCCAGCCCTCCCCTGGAGATTGGCAGCAATGGTTGCCCTAGAGGAAATGGCTGATTTGGAGGGTAGAGTCCATGGCATTCTACCTGTCTGAGGTCCCACCCCTCCACAAACCCCACCCCCTCCAGGCTCCACCCCTCAAATCTCCATGAATTTCCCAACCTGGAGGTGGCAACACTATCTCCTTCCCAGCCAACCATCAATGTTATCTGTCGCTCTGACTTCAGGTTTCCCTCTCCTCCCCCCTCCCTGCAGCCTCTACCTAGGAAAAGTACAGTCTTTCTCCACAGTTGGGACCAAAGCAGCTCACATCATTCTCCTTTCCCCCTTTTGATTTGCACAACACCCCTGTGAGGTAGGTTATGCTGAAAGTCTTTGAGTGGTCTTAAATCACCCAATCAGCTTCCACAGGAAGAACCTGGGTCTGGCAGACCCTGCTCTGAAGCACTAACTGCTACGTCACACTGGCTGTCATGGGAGGGCCACCCCAGCATGGTATAATGACACAGAGCCCATCATTTTCTCCAGGGGAACTGATCTCTGTCATGTGGTGAGCAATTGTAGTTCTGAGTGATCTCCAGTCCTCACCTGGAGATTGGCAACAATTGTTCTCCAGGAGGAAATGGCTGGTTTGGAGGGTGGAGTCTATGGCATTGTAACTGTCTGAAGTCCCAACCCAACACAAACCCCACCCCTCCAGGCTCCACCACTAAAATCTCCAGGAATTTCCCAACCTAGAGTTGGCAATCTTATCTCCTTCCCAGCCAACCATCAACCTACATTTATCTGCCCCTCTGACTTCAGCTTTCCATCTCCCCCCCCACCTGCAGCCTCTGCCTAGGAAAACTACAGTCTTTATCCACAGTGGGGACCCAAGCAGGAGGGAAGTGACCTCAGCAGGGTATAATGACACAGAGTCCACCCTGCAAAGCAGCTGTTTTTTCAAGGGGAGCTGATCTCTGCCATCAGGAGAGCAGTTGTAATTCTGAGTGTCCAGCCCTCACCTGGAGATTGGCAGCAATGGTTCCCCAGGAGGAAAAGTACAGTCTTTCTCCACAGTGGAGACCAAAACAGCTTACATCATTTTCCTCTCCCCCTTTTGATCTGCGCAACAACCCTGTGAGGTAGGTTAGACTGAAAGTCTGTGACTGGTCCAAAATCACCCACTCAACTTCCACAGCAAGAACCTCAGTCTGGCAGACCCTGTTCTGAAGCGCTAACTGCTCCGCCTAGGGTGGCCAACCTCCAGGTAGAGCCTGAAGATCACTGGGTATCACAACTGAACTCCAGATGACTGATCTCTCTCCCCTTGGAGAAAATAACTGCTTTGGAGGGTGGATTCTATGACATTCTATTCAGCTGAGGCCTCTCCTCTCCCTAATCTCTGGCTTCCATAGACTCCACCACAGAATATCCAGGAATTTCCCATCCTGGAGTTGGCAACCCTAGTCAGGACTGGCCCTAATATGTTCCCCACAAAGTCCTGAAAAGGGACTCCTGCCTTTGCCTTTTTACTGGCAGAACCAAACTTAGTTGCCTCGCAACAGCCACTGAGGGAAAAGTTAGTCCCACAGGATCCAAGCAGGAGAAGTGTCTTTGTCAGGACAGACAGCCATTTTGGCAGTTTATTCTGTCAGGGGAGAGTGTCTGGGCTGGCAGTAGGTGGGGGAGAGGAGCGGACCCAGCACACTCTTGAGTGGTGGTTGATGGGCCAATGGCTGATGGAGTGTACAGCACAGTCAGTGGGAGAGCTGGAAGTGGCCAATACGTAGGGCAATTATATATATATATATATATATATCCTTCGACTTCTATCCCGCTCACCCCCTATATGAATGATATGCTAGTTTACATTATATATATATTTATTTATTTATTTATCCTTCGACTTCTATCCCGCTCACCCCCTATATGAATGATATGCCAGTTTTATTTATGTATTTATCCTTCGACTTCTATCCCGCTCACCCCCTATATGAATGATATGCTAGTTTACATTAAGTTTTGTTTTACTTCTTTATCTACAGTGTCTTTGGACTAGGACCTTGGAAACCCATAATACTTGCAACATTAAGACAAATCCGTCATTTCATAAGGATACATTATGCTAGCATATTCTTTTGCACCAACCTTAAGGAACCATGAAGCATGATTGAGGTACAGAATCCAGACCCTTCCAAAGAATATCAAACTGTTTCATCCATCTTGCTTTCCTTCTATCAGTACTCTGGAAGTGTACCTTTACTTATAACTGTGTTACAGCTTATTCCTCTTTCCAACACATTTACTGACTAGCTGTCTTCAGTGTGTCTGTGATACAATTCCTGGCGTAATGCTACCTTCTTGTAATGTGGGGAGGGATGACTCAATTGTGAATCTTAGTTTCGAGAGAACAAGTTATACTCTGTAATTCTATGTAAATGAATCAGAAAAGGGAAGACATTCCCTTTTCTTTCTTCTATAGACTGCAGTCTGCTGCCAAGCCTCT